TTCCAGCTTAAATTTATTAAGCCAAATGTAGGGCCTCTGCTGTGATGAAATATTTTCAGAGAGCAGCCGCCATCTTTCCCAGACAGACACGTTGCAGTGAATCCTTCTAGCATCTGGGGAAGCTCGAGCTTTTACAGTTGCTTACCCACCAGGAGAAGGGGTGATTATGTATGTGATGCATCATTTGTAGTATCTGTCTTCTTCCAAGCAAATCTGCATCCTGCCCCCTCACCACTGCTGAGAAATAAGCGATCTAACATTTGGAAGAACATCTGGAAAGACGGCAGAGCAGATGCTGCCGGTCAGTCTGCTGTTTGGCAGTAACTCAGCCTGGTTTTAAAAAAGGAAGTGTAAGGTTGCCCTCCCATCTTTAGGTATCTATCTTTACAGTTTTCCATCTTAGCTGACGGTGTTCTCTTTAATAGAGCACAAATGAATCCTGTCAACTTTTATAGCATTTTTTAAAGCTATGCGAAAGAAAAATAAGCTAACTACACGAATCCTAGCCAGCCTGGGCCTAAAGCTGCCTACCACTTACCTGAGCTTTCTTAAATCTAACTTGACTTCAAGGCTTCTGCCAATGTTCTGCATTTAAATGAAATGAAAAGTTGGAGTCATTAAGGCAGCCACTTAGAAAAAACAAAGTTACGAAGAACTGGCAGGCATTGTATCACCTTCCTTGGCTCCTCAGGAACCTGCACACCACGTAGGTTACCTGGTTCTCCAGCCGCATCCTAGGATTACTCAGCTAAATGAACTTCTACCTCTTCTGAGAGCTGAACCACACTTGTACCAGCAAAGACTACTAGCCTCTGGCATCATTATCAAACACACCTTCCATGCTAGTTCATTTCCTTAGCTACAGCCATCCTTCTGTTGTTCTACTAGGTCAAGTTTTGAAGATTTTGAAGAGTAACTGCTACAAAACAGTAAAATCTGAAGTAAAAAAATGCTTAAGCCAGGCTCTGCTCTTCAGTTGCTAAGGAACTAAAACGGGAAGCGTCTAGAAGCCGGTACTGCACAAGTTCTGTGTCACTTAATCATTACTGTTGAAAGCAGTGAGGGCAGACAGTACTATTGGTAATCCCAGAAGAAATATTTTGACTTGTGGAAGTAATTCCATAACAGAGGGGGAGAAAAGTCATTAGTTAAATATCTTGATAGGTTTACTCTTGAAAAACTGGTTAAAATGCTTTGACTCAGCCCTCTGTACCTATCAATCCTGCTATGAGTAAAAGCTGAAAATAAATCATATTTGGCTATGACTAAAACTCAATAGTGTCTTTAAACCAAATGTATAAACTGCGCCAAGACATGCCCTTGAAGCAGTGCAACGAAAGGCAAGGAACAGGACTGGGTAGTGTCCCGTCCCATTATACAGCCAGTGTTGTTTTCTGTTTTGCATAAAAACGTTTCCAACACTGTGGATGAATGTTTAAAATAAACCAGAACTGCATTATCTAACACTTGAAAAATGTTGACCAGGACCCATGAAGCCTCTAAGCACATTTTTCCTCCCCATGCAAGTGTTCAATGCTGCAATAATTTAGAGTTGTATTTTAAGAGGTCTCTAATCAAGAATCTCTATTAATGACAAAGGTTAAATGAAACACGAACATAAACAAGGGAACACCTTACCTATTTCCTTTTTATTGGTCAAAGTAAGGCATATGTTTCCCAGCCTCCCCTAAAGCTGTGATGCTGCCCAGCCCTGTTTGCCCTGTGTAGTGCTGTCCAATTTAAACAAAAACTTACCTATACTGTGTCTGGCAGCATGAACAGGGCGGAAAAAACCCACAACAAACCAGGATTCAGCTGACAAGCCAATTCCATCAGAACCACACAAACAGCTCACAGGTGCCCTGCGTATTGTACACCGCTCCTGGACAACTGAGTAACTGGTACCAGTTAACTAATGTTTCAGTGGAAAGAGAAAGGGCATCCCACCGCTAAGTGAAACAAATCTTTTATTCATGAGCATTGTAATTTTAAATTCACAAATTATGAAAGGAAGGCAAATCGGAAGAGACTGCCAGAGCATCTTGTAAATGATAAAGGTATAAATTTTCTTTCTGAACGTTTCTAATTTAAGAAAAAAAAAGGTTGCATAGGCTTTCTACAGATGTGCACAAAAAAACCTGAAGTACATGGAGGTTTTTACATTACAATTCAGAGTGTACATTGGCTACTTGAAAAGGAAAGTATTTACTTGCAAGTCCAAGACTGCTATTGGAACAACCTACAGAATAAGGCTTATGAATATTTATTTTTCAGTCCTGTAAAATATACTGAACACGTAACTATCAGAAAAATAAAACGACACTTGTGAGTCTTGTTCTGGAATCTCTCGCTGATGGGATCTTTTCAGAAAGGACTATTTTTATGTTTGCCTCTCCCAAGTTACTTTGGAAAAGAAACGGTGGTAATGGCACCAGGGGATTCTTCACAGCATCAGAACAAACCAAAACATACATCGGAGCACAAGTGGAATGTTCTCGGCATGCAGAAACAACCAACCATGCAGACAGAAAACATCTTCAATAAATTACAAGCATAAAATTATTCAAATTTCTCCTTAAAATAACGGCTACAGCATCTCTGTAGCCTCGACAGTCATACCATCAAAGCTGAGCAAGATCTATTCTTTCAGGAGCGCAGGCCTGCATGCCTGACAGAGAGAGGTTTTCAATGGCTATTTTTAGTGAGTATGTGGCTTGTTCTTTGGTGTGTAAAAGTCAAAGTTCTGGGAGGATGTTCCACGTGTTTAATTTTGCATTTTCGATTGTTCTGTGTGATGACGTTACAAACTCTATGAATACTTCTAGTTACTTATCAGACTAACCTCTAGAACAAGAGTGGATCCATTATAAAGTTAATTCTTGCAGGTGACAAAGTACACGTTTTCCTGACGATACTTGGTAGTTGCTCAGTGATTACTATAACAGCATCATTTTGGTTTTGTTACAGAAAAACATTAACTATTCCTAAAAATAAGATTTTTTTCCTTTTAAAAAAAAAGGGTCAGTTACAAAACCAAGCTCATACAGTCCACGTTTTTTTTAAAAATAGGATTTAAATCATTTATAACATGAATCTGATGTGCAAATAAAGTACATACAAGCAGACAAAATAGCATTTAACAGGAAAAGGAGCGAGCCACACCTTCATTAAATAGGGATCTGAAGTTCAAATGTAAATATTAAATATTATGTCCAAATTAATAACTAATGTCATGTTTCCTTGTCTACACACCTCTGTTTAGCCTTCTGAGTTTCTCAAGAGATTTTAAAATCTAACAAAAAAGAAATTATAAAATGCAGGACGCACAAGAACCGATATAAGCAGTGCTTTGACCTAAATATATTTGTGTAATATCTATAAAGTGTAAGCTATTATATTAAGAAAGCAGACAAAAGGCACAAAATTAATCAGTACTACAGAAAGGTAGGCATCCATGCTACTGTATGTTAGAAATAGAGTGGTTTCTTTATGGGGTACTGAGCAGAAGTCAGCACATTTTACGTGTGCCTTTTGTTGTCACTTCTCTCAATAACATCTTCACTTTCAACAAATAAATACAAACTAAAAAGCAATGAAGCTTCAACACGCTTTTAGAATCCACTTTCTCAGTGTCACAGTGGTTACCTTACAAAGCAAAATCAAGCTACAGGATTGTTTACTTTTTTTTTTGTTTACTTTACAAAACAAATTATATCCCATTTCATTTGTTTCATTAATAAAGTTATTGTCTCGGTGTAATACTAAATTGTTACTTTTACATTAGAAAATCATTCGTCTGAGAAGGCTAGTTGTATCTGTTCATCCAAGTATTTCATCCAGAAGCCATCAACCGGGGCAAAAGCAAAAGAAATCAAAATACAGGTCTGCTTGGAGCCTTAATATGGAATTCAGGGCTCTGACCAGACGAGCTCTGTCTAATTTCCCAGAGCAGTGCACAGAACCCGCCTCGCGGCGGGTGGGGAAGGCTCACACCCAGCACAGCGGCACAGCAGGACAGGACTCCTACCCAGCCTCACCCCCCTCAACGCACACCCCAGCATTTTAGCGTGAACGCATCAGCAGTGGTTTAACTGAAAAGGCAAGGCTGTGAACGGGGGTGCCGCAGGCACAGCCCAATGGCGTGCTGTGCCTCTCTTGCAGGGGGGTGGAAAGCTGAGGCAGGAGTGAGCTGGAACACCACAGCTGCAGCTGCCAGAGGGGATTTAGCAGAACACGTAACCCAAAAGCATTGGCATGACAGCAGCCAGAGAACATTACACAGCAAGATCAAAATTACCACAGCGGCTGGCTTACTGGTGACCGAGATCTATTAAACAGCTGGAAGTATGAACAAACAAAAAAGCGAGGACAAAACAGGTTAGTGCGAACAATGTTCTTGAGAAGGTATTGCTACTTCCTATAATATGGCAGAAAATTTACACTCGTAAGTGACAGGAAACATGCTCTTAAATCAGCATCCCGAAGAGCGAGCACGCTGTCAGTGTATCATTCTTAGGTCAAAGTGAGTTACTCAATGACTGTTTAGACAGAATGACTGCCATTAAGTGACACGTCACATTTTAAGTGCAAAACATTTTTGGCAAAAGTGAAAAATAGAAAAACCTTAACCAGTACTAATAAAAAAGTATTTTCTTAAATACTAGCATAGGGCCTGATCCTGCAAGCACACAACTTGGGGAACCCCAGCTGAGTCCAGCCGGAGTTCTATGCCCTAACACTTAGAGGAAAAGGTCTTTAAATCACTGTTAGTGTTTATACTTGTTTACATGTAGTGTAAATAATACACACACAAACGCATACACACTGCGTGTATATATGTGTGTGTGTATATGTACATGTGCGTGTGTGTTTGTGTATCCATACACACAAAATGGCTCCTGAATAAACTTGAGCTTGTGGTTATTTTGAGATGCATCATTCACAGTATACAGCTTCTCGTTTGTATCTTCTGATAACAGGACTTATTCAATGACATCTTGAAGTTATATACTGTATCATTTTAATGCCTTTAAGGTGAAGTTATGAGGCAGCTGCTCTATCCCGTCAATGGGTCTTCCAGAGAGGATTCAAGTACAGCCAGCCATCACCCTGCAAGAAAATTAGGGAGAGTTTACAAACAAGATTTATACATACTGGATCTGTGTATGTCCACATAAAAGCTAAAATAATACTAATCAACACAAGAAACCATTCCTGTCATCTGAAAATTCTGCGCTTAATGAATTTACAGGTCATCTGGGCGGGAGGGAAAAAATTACAAGGGGGAAGAGAAACAATGGGAAGATGCAACAGATGAACTGCTGGTTTAAATAGCTGAACATACTGGCTAATGTAACAACACGGTCACATAATAATTCCCTCAGTCAGTCTTACTTCCCTTCCCCCTTTCCTCTAAGAAAGGGCAAAGACGAATTTATTAAAATCTGTTTCATTTCAAGCAGATGAAACCCAAGACTGTGTTTAAGATGTCCATGCTTGCTTATATTGGACAAGTATCCCTAGATCATGTTCACTTTAGTATGCTGAGATCAAGATTAGTAGGGGATGTGAGTACACAGCATTTGCAAATTAAGGTGTGGATTTTAAGGCAAAAAACATAGCTTTAAGTGCCTAACATTAGGTACCAAAAATTCAGGTTAAAATAAATCTAAACTGAAGGAAAGTGAACAGTTTACAATATGGACATGGAAAAATCCATTGCTCTTCCTTAAAGAGCTAGACTCTGGCAAAAATAGAATTTAAAACAATCAGTGGTATATAACAACACTAGCCCATGGTAAAAACCACAGACAAATTCATTGTCCTGTATGCAGAAACATGCTCTAGAGTCTTTAAAATAAGACAACAGAAATACCTCTTTGGCAAAATATTTTGGTTTCCACGCCGTTGTAAGAGCCACACGTTGCCTCTCCTCTGCTCGCTGTCTCTCTTCAAGGCGGTGCTTGTGTTCTGTTGCTGCATCAATATTACCTTCTTTCAGAGAATTGGTGACGTGTTGCCAAAGGTGCCTGGGTGATGGAGAAGCACAAGCGACAGAGTGAGAACACTTCTGCCGCAGCCGAGTGCCTGGCTAGACAACAGTACAGTGAGAGGCAGACTGATGCCATGTTCTCCATGCCATTTTTGCAAGTCACACAGCTTGTGAACCATCACTCTCCTAAGATATCCACCACATTTGTGGACCAGATTTTCATATTTGCTCAACTCCCAGTATTTTGCCATGCAAGTTAACTTTCTCAGTAGCTTTTGTCCATGTTCCTGACTCTTCACAACCTGAGCTTTTTTCTCAAAGCAGATGGATTTATTTTTATCATTCCCTGTTCACATTCTTTACTGATGATCCACCCCCAAATGACATGTGTTTATTCTGCATTTATTTGCAGTTAATTTTTGAATTATAAGGGAATGTTAGCCAAAAGCCAAGAGTACATTAAATTGGGACACTGACTGTTCCCACCAGGTTACTAACAGAGGAATTGATGCACTGATTCTAGGGAGCCCTTCTAGGTCTGTGCTTTATATTCCCAGTTAACAATAATCATCAGTATATAACCAAACTTGTTTTTCACACAACTGACCACATTCAGATGCAATGCCTTCACACACCACGCTAGCCTAGCAGAAACTTTGCCCAGAAAAATACTGAGAAGAAACCGACCGCAGCTTTCACGTATTTCCAGGGGTCTTTAAATGAGTTTTCGTTTACAATCTGATAAACTGCGTATCCTGCAGAAACACCGGATAGTTGTAATTTGCTTACTAGTATCCAAAAAACACAATAAATACACTGCAGAGCTACTTTAAGTTTCCTTATTTACTCCAACCTTTCTGTTCCTAAACTACAGGGGAAAAATGAGTTTGTGATAAGCAAGCATGTCTAGAAAGGAGGAAAATGGTATCTGTCCCTGCACAGTGACTCAAGACAAACCTTTGTACAATGAAGAGAACATATTTACAGATAATAAAATGAAGCTTAACTCACGTTTTTAAATCCTGCAATAAAATGTTCCTAAATTCAAGAAAAATATTGATTTCTCTGAAGATAAGTGTCAACAGTTATTGACAGTGAATAACAGAAGTTTTCTTCTAATGTACCTAGTCAGAGTTAGGCATGTGACGTGGGTGCTGAGAGCCTTAAAACCGTGTGTGTATTTATATCTCACATTGCATCACATTTTACATATTTTTATACCTATCTATATATTCCAAAATACATAAAACATGAAATTCCAGTGTAAATTATAAGATGTAACATCATGTGCAACAAACTGACTGATGTGACTACCATGTTACGATCACTCAATAAAGCAGGTGAAAACACTGCATTACCATTTTGCAAATGCTTATTAAAACACATACAAGCACTTTCCCCCTCTACAAAACTGATGTATACGTCACTATAATGCAATTTATATTCCAAAGTGCATACTCCAATACACTGCTTCAGCTCTTTGTGCCTAGATTAATGTGCTGTAGGAAGCGAGGAGTTTTTGAACCACACCATTTATAACTGCAGTTTGCTTCCCTGTTCTGTTCCCATCCAAGGTTCAGAAGCAGAACACTGTAACGCCTCTGCCCTTACCTTGATTCCAGCGGGCCTTGCTTTTCTATTGGCCTAATCTTTTTCCTGATAACAGGCAGTTTGTTAGTGTCAATCACTTTGGTTTCTCCGTTGCTGTAAGTAAATTCCAGCGTACCGTTCCATTCTCCCTGTGCCTTGCATACAATGGTGTTAGTGGGATTGTGTTTCACTTCGGCTGTAACCCTAATTCAAGAGGGAAGAAAAAAACACCACAGAAATAACTGGCAACATTTATTATCAGCACACGAAAGTGCTACCACAGCTAAGGCTACAAGCAGCTTTCTACATCTACAAAGTAATTTTTCAAGCCAAGTAGTGACTGTCTCCAAAAAGAAAGACTCAACCCAAAAAAGCTCTGCTAACGCAGCAATAGCTTTTGGATGACATTTTCCCAAAGTACAGCAGTAACCCAACTTAAAACTCTGATACTCAGCCATAACCCAGAATTGTTTATCTCATCAGCCTGAAAAACAACTCCTGACATTCATGTGACACTTTCAGTACACGTTATTTTCACACCTGAACATAATGCTGACAGATACCTATCTCAAAGACTTCAGGTACCTTTATTTTCTTCTTTAGCTCTGCAAGTTTACTTTTCAGCTGCTGAGAGGCAATGATTAAAGGTACCTCAGTGGTCCAAGAACTGATCTGAGAGTAAGTAAAATAGATAGGTAGGACTGGAAAACCAAAACGCAGGGGGAAGTTTCATATGTGTGTGTGTGTGTGTGTCTATGAACATGCACACATGTGCTTCAGCAAGCCATGTCAAGTGATCTGTAAACTCAATTAAGTTTTAAAATTATTAAACTAATACAGCACAACCTTCCCCCATTTTCACTCACCCTGATGGCACCAATTATTAATCTATACCTTTTAGAAAAACCCCTGTCAAAACAGCCCATGTTCATATTTGCCTGAACACAATATTGAAATGGTTGACAAACATATGGAAGAATAATCAGACCAACTGAAATAAGAGAGGTAACCACGCAAAAGCACAGCCTTCTCATGGACACTGCTACAGTGCGCAGCAGAACAAGAAAGAGGTCTGTGTACGTTAATGATTGGGTCATCAACTTGAGCATGGAAGTCTATCTTGCACAGCGCTTCTTCACACCCTTAATAAAGGGGAACCAAAGACACATAAATAATATTTTCATCATCTGGAATTTCTGTGCAGAAGTGGGAGTCCCCAGTAGGGAGCTACCGCTATGGGCAGCAACACTTCCGCTTCTCTCCTGCTTACAGGAGCTCCACCTGGAACACCAGTTCATCTACAAGACTCACACAGAAGCAGCAGCTGGTATAGCAGAAATACTGCCTTTTCTACGTACATTTTTCTGATCCTGCACTTACAGCAAGTTTTACAAGCTACAAAGCCTGGAAGAATACATTCACTTTAGTTTAATAAGAGAAATATATCCAATTCAGTTAAACAATATAAAATGTATAACTACAATAGACTGTGCTCTAAAGCTGTAAGTCATCTCAGACACTAATAGGAAAAGAAATTCAGATATCTGCCTATAAAATACTCCAACAGAAGATCCGAACAGATGCGCAAGAGTCTTTCCATTGAAATCCAGTAGCAGGTAAAGAAGAATAAGACAGTAATTCCTGTACCTGTGGACCTTCCCTCCATAGAATGGCTTGGTGTGGAACGTGACCGTCGCAGAATAGCCTGTTCTGGCACAATTGATGTTGACTTTCCCTCCAAGCTCCACCCACGGGATGGTAAGTATCGAGCGAGCATAGGCACTAGGCAGGGTGAAAACATACTCTTCTTCATGTTCCATCAAGTAAAGAACACCTACGTAGAAAGAAGGTTGAAAGTGAAATGATAAAAGTTCACTGGTAAGACCTGACAGTCACTGACCAATTACTGTCATTAAAATGTACTTCCACAGAGAGCACAACGTGCAACTCGCCTTGAAGGAGGGTACTGTCCGCTAAGAAAAAAAGTCTGCCCTCTGGAACAAATTTCTTCAAACAAACATTTTCAAAAGCACACAATCTGAATGTGTACCTAGTGTCCTTCATGGTACCAAATGGATTATCAGAAAATCTGACTGGGTTACTTATTTTGTGTTACTGACAAGCAATAACCTGTTGAAGCTGGAAAAAAATAACATTTGCTTGCAAAAAGCCATACTGAATATTCAGATGCTCACTCAATGTCTTCTCATAATCCCTCTCCAGACAAAACATGGGCATGGCCAACGGACTCTTCAGTTCTCCATTCAATCAGACACGACCAGGACCCCTCTGCTAATTTCTTACTGATGCACTTGTTGATGGCAGTGAAAGGCTCTCACTAGGTCTACCTGGGTGCAACTAAGAAACATGCTTAAGGAAGCCATTTGAAATCTCCTGTAAGTTTGCTCCTTCATTTCCAAATGCCCGGTTTCCCACACAGCCTTTGCAAAAGTCTTGCATAATCAACGAGGGGCCACCAAGGCCACTGCTGTATTACCACCAAGACCAATGTCTCTACCATGCAGGGAAAATTACTGGCAATTCTATTTCATTCTGTAAAGGTCCCTCCACCTCCAGCATTATGGAGTTGTAACTAAAAACAACAACATGCAGCAGCAGTAATTTTTCAAGACTATTTGGAACTACAAAGAAAGTTGCACGTCTGATCAGATCTTAGCTTCCCCTGGGGTTAAGGATACAGCTCTATCCCCACCATGGCTGTAGTTTGGCCTTCAGGATGACAATGAACAAGACAGGAACCAGGTAAAGAGCACCTTAAACCTTGCACACAGAATTACATCATGCCAAGTACCTGTAGTATATTTTTGATTAGAGTTTTATACTCTTTTGTGTCCCATTTAATAACTGCCTAAAGGCAAAAATTATAGCTTTGAAAATAATTTTTCACAACAGGAATTGAAAATAACCCATCACAGGAAGCACTCAGAACCCAGAAATACTTGAAAAAAAACATAATCAGGAAAATGATCTTGACATAGTAATAGTATCTGTTTAGAAACAAGATGAGCTTGAGCCAATTTGCCTTCACCCTGGGGCAGACAGGGGAAGGACACATTGGCAGTGCTATTGATTAGTTTGCCTATCTGTTTAAGGGACACTAATTTTGCAAAGTGATCTGACATGTAATGATGAAAAAGCACTAAATAGGAACAAGGCACTACTACTGCCAACTTAAAAATATGCCCTTAACGTTGTACGAAAACACAAACCTAAAAACATTCAAAATCTAAAAGCACAGAGCTGTAACAGAATCATCGTCTTAAATATTGGCTCCAATTAACAGAACTAAACGCAGGCACAGGAAGCTCTGCAACTTGTCACTTCTGCCTTCTGAAACTGTTCCATAGGAAAACATCTTTTGCAAACCAGAATAGTTCTATGCGGTTGTTCTCAGGACTTCTTCAACCTCAGCCTGCCAGCAATGACACAGCCAGCGCTTCTACTCCAGCAAGTTTGACGCAAACGAGCTGGAGAGTGCAAAAGCACAAACACAGAAAAGCAATGTTTTAAAAGGACCTTTAACCATTTTGCCTCGGCAAGTCACAAGTTCCTCGTGTCATGTGCTGAACCCTCACCGGCCGGGAACAGCCAGGACACAGCTGGAACACACACACATTTTGCCTCAAGCTTCCTCGGCTCCGTACCTGCAGGTAAAACCAGCTGAACACACTGCAGGAAGGCTGAACGACCCAACTCACCCGGGACACGCAGCCAGAAAGAACTTTTACTCAAAAAGACGACTCTGCTTATCAAACTCGTTAAATGGATCCTATAATAACATCAAATTAATAAAGAAAATCAAGAAGCCTTTTAACTAGATGATGATATTCAAAAAGGATCAAAGAAAGCTAATGAGTACTGATCAAACCCAGAAAGGAAACCTGGCAGTCTGCAATTGGGCATTTTCCACATAGAGAACTACAACAGGTTTTAGACTCACGTCTGTCAGCTTTCCTTTCTCCTCCTCTTCCCATTTATTCTCGACCTTTTTCATTACAGTCATGGGCAACAGACATGTAGCAGCAACCAGCTGCGGGAAATGGCCTGTGGTGCTACCCACGACGTCACATTTCCCCAGTCTTAATGGTCTAAGGACAGACACAATCCTCACACAGTCAAAAAGCACAGTCCACCTGAAAGCATCAGCTTCCAACATGACAGTTTTGGGGGTGTTGTTGTTGTGAGGTTTTTGTGTTTGGCTTTTTTTAAAAGACAAAAGGTCTAATAGCAGTATGGTGGACAGGTGTGGTGCTCACTACTGGGGAGAACCCCACTGTATTTATGAACCACACCTTCACGTGAGCTTCTCCAGATCCTCCTACTTCCCCGGGCCCAGCCATCCTCCTCTGACAGTCACTGCATGTCCCCACGCAAGAGGAAACTGCCATGATAAACACAATTTCCTTCTGGGTTAGTATAGGTTTGCTTTTGTCTCTCTGATGGGATCGATAGCTTTTTTCCTCCATACTCGAGTGGGAGGGACGCAGAGCTCTTATGAACGCTGCCAAGCACACTGAAAAGTGAACAGCAAACAACAGCAGTGAACTTCAATGTAAATATTTAACCACCATAGCAGGTTAGATATTAAAAACTGAACCCAGCTCTCTTGGCAGTATTTTTAGCACCTGGTAGCATATTTTTTGAATTCCTTAAACACCTGAATAAATACATTTTTAATGAAGTGCTATTTCACTTGAAATATGACTCCACCTCAGTAATTATAATCTAAAAAAGAATAAAGGGAAAATCTGAAATACCCACAACTTGATACTACTTTTAGTATTAATGTGACTGTTAGTTTTGCACTCCATCGTTTGCAGAGTCCACATGCAAAACCTCATTTAACTGAAGCACCACGAAGACTGTAGCTGCACCACCATATCCGAACTGAGACCCGTGCTCTCTTAGGGAAGAGGAAGCCAAAATGACAGAGTCAACATTTGTAACTGCTACCACAATTTGAATTCAAGTCCTACCCTGCCGAGTTTAAATCTTGAGAAATTAAAGGCAGAATAACTAAAATCTAACAGTTATTTTTAAAAGCGTTGTGCATTCTTAACATCTGCTTATAAGTAACATTACATTTTGACTGATCTTTAAAAATATCTGCTGGAAAACACACAGGCTATTTTTCTTCCCCTGCTTCCCCACTGTAAGGGATTATTCATTTTTAGTTTAAAAATGGCTATAAGTAAATATACGTGAAAAGTTGCAGAAGATTCTCCCATTTTCAGTAACGTTTCCTCCTCTCACATCAAAGAATTCTTTAGGAAACTGCAAATTCCTTTAAAAAAAATCTTAAGTATTTATAGGCAGCTAATATACATGGAAGAATGCACCAGATAAGTACTCTGGGAGGAACAGTGGATTTAGTAAACTGGTTTATTAGAAAAAAATCCCACAGAAAAGGATGAACTAGTAAACTAGTTTATTAGAAAAGAATCCCACAGAAAAGGGTGAATTTTTTATAACAATTTTGAAATTCCCCCTTGAAATGTCTTCAACACCTTTTACTCCTGCTTTTGACTAAGGCAACGTATTCACAGTCATGCTCGTTTCCACGACTCCTCAGCCTGCATTAAAGGAAGTGATGTTTGTGGCATATAATTTTCCCTGTTTGCCTATTACATGTCCCTCACTGATGCTGCAGCTTTGTGAATTGATTTTCCAGTAACACATATTGATGAAATACCCAGAGGAGACTCTGCATCAATAAGCTGCAGAACAAGCATGTGAAATTTAATGCTTCCCACTGATTGTATGGAGATCAATCTGAACAACAAATGGTACGTGGGACACAAATGGCCTAGGGCAGTTTCCTAGTTTAACAGGCTCTTCATACTGTCTGCATTATTCTTAACATGGCACAAACAGGAGTAAGTTACATACGGGATGAACCCCACACGGGTGTAGTGCATCACCAGCCGCACAGATTCACATGGGAAAACATGAGATGACAGAACCAGGCTCTTATCGTCTCAAAAACGTTCCAGCGAGCTGTGCTGCACTGCTTGTTTTCCAAAGAGTGGAGCCATTTGCTAAATTAAGTAATGAGTGCCATGCCATACGGAAACTGTTCTGAAACCACTGGGCTAAAAAATATTAATACAAAAATTAGTACTAGGGAAATATTTTGGTAGCTCTAGTTGCATGGAGTAGTCAATCGTTTGCACTGGTAAATTAAAAAGTCGCTAATGCCTCAAGAATAGAAATTATAGACCTGTACATCTACAAACACATACACATACATATATTTGAACAGAAAAAAAACCAAGAGAAAAAAACTTTCATTGCTTCCATTTAGATTTACCCTGGAAAGAGCACTGAACCTTTTCCCTACCTATCAAATCTTCTCAAGGTTTATTTCAATTTTAAAAATGATTTTTGGAAGCCTATACTTCACTAGTTTTTAAAGCATTTAAAATAGCAGGAGTGAAAACACAAGACATAACTAGCCAGTTGATAATACAGAGCAATCCACTTAAACGTACATTATGCTCTCTGCAAAATTAACCCGTGAGTCAAAGGTGATGCTTTTTGTTGGACTTTGCTGCTTTAGAACAAAACCCAAGAGCAGAAAAGGAACACGCACAGCCCACACTGATGTGTGCTCACCACAGCCTTTTCAACTAAAGCATCCTTATCCTACAACCAGTATCTGTTTGAAGATTCTTTGGATCATGTAAAAAACATTAAATATTTACATTGAATCCCCCATCCCTTGCTAATTTAAATCTTAATGTGATCCTATTCATTACACTCCTCCCTCACTCTCTCATTAGTACATAATTAACATCAACCAGAATTGGGGACTGTGCACGCAACATGAATTCTTTTATGCAAAATGCCCTCTCTTCTATTCAGGGTAGCTTTCTCATGAGGAAACTCAATGCTGACTGCTCTGAAGAATGGGGGTTTTGTTAATATAGTGAAGAAAAAGTTGAGACATTTTATTAGCAAGACAGATTTAGAGCCCTCATAACCACAGATGAAGGGCTAGCATATAAAACAGCTTCTCACACGGATTTCCAGCAGTGCTTTCCTACTCATTCTGCATCTCTGCAACTGATACTTACTTTGAATCAACAAACAAAAATCACAGACAGAAAAAAAAAATCTTAGTCACTTTGAGATGCAACATACACTAAAAATTGTACAATTAAGATACTGAGCTGTACCTTTTGTATGACAGGACCATACTGTCCTCAAATCCCCTAATTCTTTAAACTCTTACAGAAGCCTTTGTACTTCCATGACATCCTATTTCAGCATATCCACTGATGCTTCTAACAACAAAGCATAAAAAGCAACATGTTCTATACATCTAAGAACATTGTGACAAGTTAAAAAAAAAAAACACTTCAAAGGCACCACAGAAACATTAACAGTGTATTCCTTATACAATAAGGTCCAAAAATTCAGTACTACTATATTTCTGTAAATAGCCAACTGCAGTAGAAAAAGCTTCATTGAATTGTTTGAAGACCACACACAAAACTATTCAGCAGAGAGCAAAGTTTCAAAACAAATCACAGTTTTTTGTATTCAACACTAAGGTCACAACTAAGTTACAGGTCAAACAAAACTGTTCTGATAAATACCTGAACTAGAACAAGATGGTCACTTCCTACCACTGAATTACCCAAAACATTAATTGCAGCTCTCTAATGTTCTGTTTGGAAGGAAATTTTTTTCCTACATACATCAAATAGTACTGAATGAACGCACAGTATAATGAAACTGATATACCAACAACAGAATGATTTAAATGAAGTCTCAGAATGGACTTACAAAATCTAACAAAAAGTCAAAGGCACTCACATGTACATAAGTAAACTCCAGCAACAGCCAAAAAAAACAGGGTTGAATGCTCATAATGGAAAAAAAAAAAGAGGAGGAAGGGACAAGACAAAAAAAAAAAATCAACAATAACACATGATCAGTTTGGTCATCCAATGCACAGTAGCAAAAAAATAAACAAACAAAACCCAGGGATTTCTATGATTCATGAGATGTCATTTTGGCTCTTATAAAAAGCAGGATCAGTCATACTTCAATCACTCCTGAGAAACTCGCTTAATCTGGTTTTAACAGTTTAAAATAAGATTCTACAACTTTACCAGCCAATCTTGTGGTCAGAAAGCTTCTCCTAGCAGCTAACTTTAGTTTCTACCCAACTACCTTCATATACCTTCTGAGTAACAGCATGTCTTTCCTCAATCTACTCTTTGCTAGACTAACTCACCCCATTTGGAATGCTGGAATGCATAAAATGTCCTTGAATTCAAAGAAAATTTTCCAAATTATATTTCCATTAAAAAATTACTAGGCTCTGCATTACCAGACACGTAAATACAGAGTTTTTCCACATTGTAAGTCCAGCAGCTAATTTTTCTTGGTTCAGCAATCTATTCCCCAGTACTCATGCTGACCTCAACCTAATACAGAATTTATACTTATGCAGCACGTGAGAAAGAAACGTCTGCACTAGATTCTAATTTTTGCACAGCTTGACAAATCTACAAACCAACTTAATCAGGAAGACTTTCCTGGGACTAAAATAAATTAAAAAAAAAAATTTAAGAAAGTGTAGTTTCAAGTGAAGAAACTGCACTGCGAAGCAAACATTTTAAACTAAGGCTGTCAGGCTTAGGCTGGCAGTTTTCAGATAGTGGAAAACCTTCAGTGGTACAACTTCTTGCTGCCTATTGCTAGTCCTCAACATGCAACAGAAATGCTTGGGCTGCACTGGAGTTTCTCCATCACTTCCCAGAAATGCTGTCACCATGAAGCTGCATGCTTCTGCACTGCTTACGTGAACAAAAAAGATGAATGATAACTATAAATTGGTAAACCCAAACTTCCTCCCAAAATGCCAATCATAAAGACAGCAGCAAACCTTGCAATAAAAGGGTTCACCATTGCAGATGTTCCCCAAAGCCTGCCTCCACTCCTGGGATATCTCCAGGATCATAGGGGGAAAAAAAAAAAAAAGGGGGGTAGGGGAGAACTTATTCTCACAAACATATATTAAACAATCCTTGGGGTAAGGAAGAGGTTAATTCCTAGACCCTTTCTCTCTCAAAACTGGGACACATCAGGACTTTGAAGTCTTAAATAATCCCCACAGTAGACACCCCCAATCCCAGGGAACCGTGTGCTCTAGCAGCAAGAAAAAAAAATTTCCCTACTCCTACATAATCATAAGTGACTTTGTGTTTAATTTTATTTCCATTAAATAGCTCCTTTCACTGAGAAAAACAGTACTAGAAACAAATATGTACCAGAACAATGCAGCAAGTGAAACCAATGACTCAGGCTGGCAGTAGCACAGCTGGGAGACAGAGAGAAGGACCGATTTCCCTTCTGACACTCCCTTTCCAACTTCCTTAACTCCATATTAAAAGCAAAATACCTAAATCACAGGAAGAAGGAAACAGCCATGCTGTTACATTCTTTAACTATCACCACAATATCAAATCCAGTAGTAAGGAAGTTTCATGGCTCTTCTACAAAAAAGAGAATATATTGCCATCAGGAAAGAAGCTACTGTAGCCCTTTCTTACGTTTGAGTTTGTTCTTTAGTTCTAACTAGTAGAAATAGCAGAACATATCTGTATGTTTTCACTGTAATTGTTTTGTTGTTATTAATAAGCAAAACCAAATCACTACATTTCCCACTCTACTTTTTTACTACTTTAATATCATATTATTTAACATAATGATGACAAAAAGCAGCATTTACCGTAAGTTGTCCTGGTGCTTCTGAGACCACAGTCTAAAAACTAGTTAAGACAAAACACTAAAAACCATACTCAGGAAATTACACTCAAATGGCAAAAGGGACTGACTAAATTGATTAGAAACATTAAATCAATACATTAGCAGTCAGTAACAATACTGTTACAGGTGTGTTTATCAGTTCAGATTATCCATTAAGAATTTTTTATGATTTCGTGTATTTCTGAATTCACGTTGAGGAATGACTTATCACAAAGCAGACTGTGTATGTTTGATACAGCAAATCACGATTTATATCTTGACTACGTGACTTGCTATAAAGCTTTAGGTAATACACTAACTTTGTAAACACTACAGAAACCACGATTCTTTGCAGAAACTATGAAAAGAGAATGTTAGGCTTAAGTAAAAATGTGTTTTTTCCTATTGCTTTGCTCCAGTTGTGAAACTGTCCCATACTGGATCACCTATTACTTTAAAAGTGAGCAAGACAAATAAAAATGTTCTTACAGAACGTACTGTCAGTAGCCATTTGCTACTACAATTTAAGATATGACTGTACTTCAGATATAACTAACAGTCACGCATAAATATAAACACACATTTGTATACATAATGTGTGTCTCACATTTTGTCTGGACAGAAAAAAGTTACATGAACCCTACAGTTTTAATTCCAAACTTCACAAAAGCAAATAGCCACAAGGTTCAAATGAAAGGTCAGAGGGAGAGCAAGCAGGAAAATATCTGGATTTCTGTTGTGTTGACACCTACAACTTAGCTGAAAAAAACAAGATAAAAGTACATTTCTTACCTTCACCTACCATAGAAACACCTATTGACATGCCCATAAACTTGCTTTTGGTCCATACGTGAGCGTTCACACACATTTTCTTCTCTTTGCACTCACAGTAAAAGCAAGATACCGGTGGATGATGGGATACTTGTTCAGCTACAAACCTCAGCTTGTAGCACATGGACTGGTCCTGGCCAAACTCCTTGGCTGGGTCCTTAGAAACCGTGGAGACACCGTTAGTTCTGAATGCTTTCACTTTATCTTTAGGCACATCCCACGAGCAATGAAACGTTTCACCAATTATAGGGTTATAGGGCTTCTTGGCAACCGCTCCCTTTCGGCCTTCGTGAAAAGCTGTTAGATAATACTCCACAAAGCAGATAATTCTTTCCTCAGGAGTGGCTCCAGCTGCAATTGACAAAAACAGGTCTGGATGGGCCATGAAATTTGCATACATCTCCAGCAGGGATCTTTTCTCCAAAATAAATGTTGGAAGCACTACCTGTATGCAAAGCAGACAAAGGCAGATATGATTTCCCCATGATCATACTACCACGGGGAAAGGGGGGAGAGAACAGTTAAGACAGCTGCAATTCTGGCCCTGCCAAGTTTCGAGACAGCGTATTTTCTTCCCCTGCCACAGCAATTTCATTTTCTTTGCAGTGTAAATAATGAGTGAAGGAAAAAGCAGTGGCCTTGATAGCCATGCAGGCTGCTTCCTATTTCATTATGATTCTCAACAGCAGCTCACGCAACAGGGATGGGCTGTTCTGCTCACGTGGAAATCTGCCTTTTCCTCTCCTCTCAGTTAACAAACCAACCATTGCTCTCCTTGTTTACAGGACAAAAACATACTTTGATGTAAATTAATTTACATCAAACATCAACAAACCCAACTAATAACCCTCCCAAAAGGGTAGGGCACACCCTTCCAAACCACTAGAAGATGAGTATTTTATATAAACATACACATCCCCAACCTGTAAGCGGTGATAGTGCAAGGGGTACATCTACCCATTCTGTCAAACAACTGGGCTCTCAATTTCACTCCTAGGCCCTTGACCACCCACTGCACACGTATTAGATCCCTTGCAGCCTCTAACAAACCAAGCCAACTAGATCCAACCAAAACCAAATCTCGGGTGTGTTTCCAAGGTTAAAACTATACCAAGGACTCCTTCCAAGAGGCAGGAAACCACTCCAGGTTTGACTCCCTCTGCCCTACACTGTCATCGTATGTGTCATGTCCCCTCCCACCTCCCAAGTCAAATCTCTTGCCACTTCTAGGCTCTCCTCCAGGCACACAGCACATCCCCTCAGTTTGAGATTGTACCATACTACTGTGGTGGGCCCCTGCATGCCTTCACCTTATTTCAGGCAAGTTGAAACAAACCAAAACTGCACAAACTGTTACATTAATATCGTGGGACTATGGGGGCCCAGAAAAAATCTGGGACTGAGCACTAGGCAGTCTGCAGTGGAGGGAGCCAGCCCTGAGTGATTTGGATGCGGTCTCAAGTGGCTCACCGAGCAACGCAGATGTTGCCAAAGTCACCCACTTAGGAATAACACTATCAAAAGTTTTCAATGAAACATCCTGGAGTGCACTGCAAGACAGGCAAGGGCTACAGGACCTAAAATAATTTATTTCTTTCCGTACCTTCTCCCTTACCCTCCACACCTTGTGCAGGAGTGTCCCAGGGGAGGTCAGGGGTCGCTCCTGCATGACCAACAAGGAACTTCTGGCACACACAAATTTGTCTAGAGTCAAAGTGGCTCAATGATGCCAGATGCAGACCAACAGCTGTCCCCTATTAAAGAAATTCTTCTGCTTTCCTCATTAATTCTTCATTGCATTTACTTTTTCCCTTTCCCAAAAGCAAGGGTTATTTACAGCAGGCATGGAGCCACCCTTCAAACATAAACACATTTGCTTTCCCCCCTGCAGCTCCAGCTTGCTATTCTAAGTGGGACCAAAGCACAGTTCAGTCCTTTTGGATCCCGTGGATAATGAAATAGAAGCTGTCAAACTTTTATTCATCTTTTAGTTCTTTTCAAAGAAAACTTGTAAACGTGAAAAAAAAATTCCAGTCGCAATGGCTCAAACGCAGTCTTAACAGCTACACAGGAAGTCAACATACCACCACTGCAAAAAAAAAAAAAACCAGATCACTTCTCCATTTGGTAACATACACGCTCATTCGCTCTCTCCTTCTGTATATTATTTACACACATACAATCTTTTACAGGCTAATAATTTTTACAAGTTTAGATATAAATCAAGCAAAGTTCCATCTGTAATACTCCTCTGACTCTGTTCTGTAAGCCTTGAGGACTCTACATAGTCTCTAGTTACCAACCTAATGAGGCCCCAAAAGATGCAGGACCTTAATTTTACACTATGAGTGGCAAACTACTGCATGTTAAAGACAGCCTACAGTCCCCCTGGTGGTGAGATAGCGAGGGGCTGAGGACACCAGTTTTTAAAAGTGAAATCTAAAACTTTGGAAGGCAAAGTACGAAGGCAGTAGATGTTAGCTCTTTAAACAATTCTGTCTTACTTGCAGCATTCTCATTCTGACCAAATATGCATTATTTGATATAATCTTAAAAAATGCAATTCAGCATTACTGACCCTCAACACAGGATCTCATTTTAATATAAATTAAAAATCAGGTTATCAAAGGGGAAACTGACAGCAAAACATAGGAAAAAAAAAAACAACATCACTTCCGACTAGAAATACTAGTAGTGACTATCATAAGTTCACTGCACAGACTTGAGGAGGCAGAGAAACTCATTTGAATAAACAGCACTCTGCATCTCATTATGTCCAAGTGTCTCTCTCTAAAAAGAGTGACCTTTATTAGCACAAATGGAGGAGAAGAAAACTACAGACCATACTTAAGATGATCCAAATTTTATGGTACATTAAGACTGCTGTGGTTTCATCCTGTTGACTTGATCACATAGTCCTTGTATCTACTCTCTCAAGTATTAGCTGTGTGCTTTGCAGCTACATACTTAATACAGCTATGCCAACATAGCCACTAAATGAGATGTTACGAATCACTAGATTGTTATTATTCAGTTTCAAGAATAAATTTAAAATCTGAACAAAGCTTGAACTCTAGCTCAAATGATCTTGCTTTAAAAGCCCAACTAAAATGGAAACTACATCCTTAATTGTAGCAGGAAAGGATCCACTGCAAAACAGAGAATTGACCTGTTTCCTCAAAAGGAGACTGAACTACATACGAAAATTATTTGAGTTTTTAAGCTTACACAATCCCAGTATTACAAAATATGCCTAGAAAGCATTTCTTTTTACTAAATAATCTCATTGCCTGAAAGTTTCAATATGCAACACCACCACAGAATAACATAGTCAAAAAAAAAAAAATCATCAATCACACCAGTCTTTTTTTTTTTTTTAATTGGTCCTATCTTGATTTCTGCAGAAATAAGCAAAGTAGAAATAAACAAAATTTGGAAGCATACGGTATTCTTCTCGCCAGCGTTGGACTGTCACACACTTGTGCTAGTACTCTAGCTTCCAAAGGAATGAGGTTTTCAACTCTTCTGCAGCCAAGCAGAATGCACTGCCCAGAAAAATACACTTAGGACCTATGTTCTTTATATTGGTTTTGGACTACAACAATTTTTTTTTTTTTGTAATTGCATAAAAAGTCAAAACAGCCTAATTTTTTTGTCTGAGAAAAAGCCAGCAAGACAACCAAATGGACAAAAGAATCTCTCTAGAATGAATACCAAGTTGCCAAAGTCAGAAGAAAAAAATCTCCTGGTTGCATTCGAAAATGTTAGAATAATCTCTTCTTATTCTCTCTCAGGCTCCATGTGAAAAGGAAGCAGTTTAACAGGCATTCTTCCCTTTTCATTGAGGTTCAAAAGAAGACATTGGTTCAAAGCTTGATCATAACCTCCTAGGTTTGAATTCACCTATACTTAATTAGATCTGAATGCAACTGAGAAAAGTAAGAAGAGAGATAAGAACAGAGATATTTATCTCCCCTACTATTTACTGCGAGGCAAAACATGGGAGTCAGCACCATTCCCTACTTTTTTCAGAAATCTGACGAAGGTACCCCAAGCTGAGATGTCCTTCCCTTAGAGGTACAAAAGCTTTCCACTGTCATCTGTGTCACTGTGGGAATAAAAGAGGCTATTTTCATCCCACTTATATTTTAAAATTACAAGGTAAAAAGAATATTGACAAGCAAATTAAACACGACATCGTGAACATACTACAATGTTAATTTACAACAGGTTGATATTCTGCAGAATTACTGGCAGCCCTTTTTACACAGAATGGCAGCCCTTTATTTTTAGCACAGACTAACTGCGTAGGGAAGGTGAGGGAATGAGGGGGAGTGACCACCCATCTGCACAAATTGTTAGCATTCATTTCAATCCATTAGATACCGTTTGCCAACACATTTATCAGGCTGTCAGTGATTTTTGGCGCTATTTTTCATTTTTTAGAAGTCCAAGGAACCAACAATTTAGAAACTTATTTTTTCTCCAGCAATTCCAATTTTAAATGAGGTTTAAAGTCCTAGCCCACTCCAAGGCATCAATCAGTTTTGTACTATATTCTGCTGTTGTGAACTGCTCCCCCACTGTCCTGGTTCCGGCTGGGACAGA